GATTTTCACCTTACATTCACAATATAGACGGCCCAGTCCGGCAGACGATGAGGCTGCACTGGGGACGTTTCCGGATTCTGAGGTTCAGGGGGCTGAGGGCCTGGCCCACCCTTCGTACCTCTATTCATTCCTGGCCTGGCTCACTCTCTTGGGGTCCCCCTGCTGCCCACAGGAGCCACCATGACTACGAGACCACTACAATTCCATTTCCAGGCAAACGGCTCATGTGAATGCTATGCAGGGGCACATCCCCCCTCCCCCCCGCCACACAGAATGTTCTAGAATGTTCATGGCAGGTTTACTCATAAGATCCTTAAACTGTAAACTACCCAAATGGTCACCAAAGGTGAAGGCATGAACACCCTGGCAGTTGTGCACAACGGGATACTATACAGCAATGGCAAAGACGAGGGCTGTACACAACATGGGCAAGACCGCTTGCCGAGTGGAAGAACATGGGCAGATGAGATTGCCTAGGGATGAAATCTGCAAGCTGACGAACGGATCCTGGGCAGGCGATGCCTGGTGGGGGCACTGGGGGCTTTTCGGGAGCTGGTGCTGCTCTTTCTCTTGCCGTGAGTGCCGGTGATATACAAGCTGTGTTCAGGTTGTAGCACTTCGTTGCCTGTTCATTTGTGCCCTTCTCTAAGCCAGTCAATAAAAAGTTCAGCATTAAAACAGAGGAGACTTCAGCCTCCTTTCCTCAGTGCCTCCCGAGGCTCCTCACGTGGCGTGGGGTGAAGCACGGGATCCGTTTTGGCTTGTGTGGTCAATGTCCGCACACCAGCAAATATCTATCTCCTGGTCCTCTGGGCCACAGGTGGCATGTGCACCTGCCCCCCATAAGTCAGGGTGGGTGCAGCCCGCTCTGGTCAGTGGAATTCAAGTGACAGGGACAAGTGCTGCTCTAGGGAAGAGCTGCCCAAGTCCATATGGCTCTGTCTCTCCCTCAGTGACGTGCCAGTGTTCCAGAAGGCTGCTGCTCCGTCTGCTTGGATCCCTCGGTGACAGCAGTGAGTAGTCCCTCTGCTGCCTGGTCACAGACAATGCGCTGGCGAGGAATAAGCCCCGTTTTAAGGTGCTAATATTTCGGGGGATGTTCGTTATGCGGCACAACTAGCCCATCCTGCCTGGTATACCAGGCGTTCAAGGCTCTTTGTAGCCTGTCCCAACAACCTCTCTGGCTTTGTGAATTAGAAACATTCTGGCTGTGAGCATGCTGGGACATCATTGTACAAATGCACCCGGTTTTTTCATGTCCTGTGCCCTTGGCACTCCATGGCATCCCTCCCCTGTCCTGCCTCCCGGGCTGACTGCCACTTGTGGCAGCTCCCCCTTCTGGATCCCGCGGCCCCAGCTGAATCACCCCCTCTTGCTGCTGTCAGCGGCTCCTTGAAGGCAGGTGTCGAGCCAGTGAGCAATCATTATTTCCCACAAAAACAAGCAAGGAGGGGAGTAAAGACACACAGGCTTGACCTCCAGCTCCTCAGGAGGGACGCGAAAGGCGGCTCCCTCGTGAGGGATCACAAAGCCATGTGCAGCCGGGAGGGAGCCGGGTGCATCTCTAGGCCCCCTCCAGCAGTGTCCAAGCTCCTCCGCCAACTCCTGCCGCTTGGGGCGGCTTGTCTTACACCCCTCCCCGCTACTCACCTTTCTACAGGCCTCCCCCACCCCTGCCTGCCTGAGGGGAAGTTTGGGGTACAAGGAAGGAAACAGTGCTGCTGATTAACCTATTTTACATGATACAGATTGGAACCCCAGGGAAAGAACATCCCCCCTCCCGCCCCCCCCAAGGCCTCCATTTGAGGCCACGTGACAAGGGATCCCAGCTCAGCACCGCCTCGGATTCCCAGCTACAAATGCTGCCAGGGAACCTCCCAGAGCAGCAGGGTTTCTGAGTGGCCAATCACTGGGTAGCCCTGGGGGAACCTCAGTTGTGTCTTGCTCCAGCCGGTGACAGCAGAGGGCTGAACGGGAGCCACACAGGACAGGAGTCTGGGGGTGCATCAGGGAGCCAGTCAGCCGCAGAAGCAAGGGCCTCCTGGACCCTGTGTCCCTAGGGCTCTGGATCCACTGAGTTGTCTCCACCTGCTCTCCTCCCCACGGTCCCAAATGCCCAGCCAGTCACAGCAGGGAGGGCTCCAAGCAGGCACCTGTCTTTCTCTGTGTTACCACAGGGGAGCTTGGAAGCCCAGACAGGGTGGGCCATTTGCTCTAAATCACACAGGAAAGCTACTACAGTGGGCTGGCTTTCCCGCCTTGGCAGAGGGCTCCCTGGCTGCCGGGGGTGTAGAACTTGCCCTCAGACCAGACTGAACCCCATGGCTTAGCCTGCGCTGTTCTGGGAAGCCACCCCTCTCCAGCTTCATCTCCCACTCTGTCCCACGTGTTCTCAGCCACTGGCTCCCACTGGCTCCTCGTGCACATCAGGCCCCTATCTCCAGGCCTTTGCATACACCCTTCCCTCTGCCCAGGTCCCTAAATCCTTCTCTGCTCAAAAGCTGCCTCTTCCCGGAAGCCCTCCTTGACTGCCCGCCTGAGTGAGCCCTCTACCCCCATAGTTCTTACCACTCTCTGAAATCACCTCCCTTGGGTATTTGTTGGCCCTCACTTTGTTTTTTTTTTTTTTTTTTAAGATTTTATTTATTTATTCATAGAGACACACAAACAGAGAGAGAGAGAGAGAGAGAGAGGCAGAGACACAGGCAGAGGGAGAAGCAGGCTCCATGCAGGCAGCCCGACGTGGGACTCGATCCAGGGTCTCCAGGATCACATGCTGGGCTGCAGGCAGCGCCAAACCGCTGCACCACCAGGGCTGCCCTCCCTTGGGTATTTGTTGACTCACTTTTTGTCTGTCTGCCCCAAGGATTGTAAGCTCCACGAGGCAGGGTCCTCGATACCGTGAGGAGCTACCTGCACCTACGGGCTCTTTCATGCCCCCCAACCCTCGAACATAGTGGCTGCGATCCTGGGGTGTGCCTCCCTGCTCTTGGCTGCCCGGCAAAATGCTAGCAGGCCTCCTCACCTCAGCTCAAGATCAGCAGCTCTCAACTCTCACTGTGACTTTGCAACAAACACCTTCCTGGCTTCCCTCCCAGCCCCTTGCCACTGCCCACCGTCGCGCTGGTCACTTGCCTGTCAGGATCTGCAGCTGTCTGCCTCCCAGCGAGCTGCAGCTTCCAGTTCCCTCACTACACCCCAGTGCTGGGCACACAGTAGGTGCTCAGAGAAAGCCAAGGACGTGGGCGGATGGCTGGACTGGTGCCATGTGATTCCAGGGGCCGATGCTGGTGGCTGGACATGTGCCAGGGACCTATGGGACAGCTTTTGCGAGCTTGCTAGGCACCAGGCACTGTGCTCAGGCTGTTCACATATGGATCCCCTCTCTCAACACTCAAGACAACACGGGTGTTGTCACCACCCTCAATGCAGAGATAAGGACGCTGAGTACGGAGAGGACGAGGCATCAGCCCAAGGTAACACAGCCAGGAAGTGGGGAAGCCCGGACTTGAACCCAGGTCTGTTTGACTCCAAAACATGTGCTCTAGTGTGCCGAGGGCCACTGCCATCCAAGCACGTAGTTCTAGGACACTCCAGGGGCTCTGGGCACAGGACTCCTCCTGAACTCCTATTCCATCTGCCTACAGACATACCTTGTTGCTAAACCGCTCCTCCCAGAAGTCAATCCCCAAATTCTGGGAGGTGAGGGCTTCTTCCTGGAGCTTTCCTCAGTATGGCCCTGGGCTGCTGCCACGCAGGGTGGACAGAGCCATCATTTGGCACCTTAGGAAACCAAGGCTCAGAGAGGTTAAGGGATCTGCCTCTGGACACACAGCTGGATCCCAACTCCGGCTCTGAGAAGTCATATGGCTTCTGGGTGGGGGTGGGGGCTCTGGGAGTGGGACTGAGCTGCATGGGCCCCTCTCCAGGGCAGAGAAGCCTGGAGCCAGGGCAGCGACAGAGCTGCCGTCAACCCCCAGCATCTAGAAGCTACCAAAAGGCCAAGGGGTACTGGACTGAGCCAAACTTTTGGGTATAGTCTGGATGGTTTTGGCCTTGATGCCAAGCCTCCTCTGGGTCTCTGGTTTCTAGAGCCTTTCTCAGGTTTGCTGGACCGTCACTGTCTACCCCTTTCTTTCTTTCTTTTCTTCTTTCTTTCTTTCTCTTTCTTTCTTTCTTTTTTCTTTCTTTCTTTCTTTCTTTCTTTCTTTCTTTCTTTCTTTCTTTCTTTCTTTCTTTCTTTCAGATTTTACTTATTTATTCATGAGAGACACAGAGAGACAGAGAGAGAGGCAGAGACATAGGCAGAGGGAGAAGCAGGCTCCATGCAGGGAGCCCGATGTGGGACTGGATCCCAGGTCTCCAGGATCACACCCTGGGCTGAAGGCGGCGCTAAACCGCTGAGCCACCCAGGCTGCCCACCTCCCTTTTGATCATTGTAGTGTTGAACACATACCCACATGTCCTGAGCACTTGTCCGTGTCTCCCCCAAGCATGGCAGCACTGTGGGGGCAGAACCCTATCAAGATCTCCAGGGCTGCCTACACAGGGTTCTGACCAGGTGGGATCCCTTAGCAAATGTCTGTTAGATAAGTGAACGGACCGTTATGCATTTACTTCCCTTCTGTAATGTTGCACAGGCTGCCTCCTCCTTGTTTTTTAAAAAAGATTTTATTTATTTATTCATGAGAGACCCAGAGAGAGAGAGAGAGAGAGAGAGAGAGAGGCAGAGACATAGAGGGAGAAGCAGGCTCCATGCAGGGAGCCCAATGTGGGACTCAATCCCAGGACTCCAGGATCATGCCCTGGGCCGAAGGCAGACGCTAAACTGCTGAGCCACCCAGGCATTCCTTAGGAAGCCCTCCTTGAACACCCTACCCCCTCCACCCTAACCAGTGGGAGCCCTTAGTAAGCACAGATCTCACCTCAAGTCTCAATTTAACCCCAGAGAGCTAAATCGCAGAATCCCTGTGGGCTCCACCCAACTTCGGCTCACTCACCTTTGGGGATGGAGTGCTCACTTCTTTCTCTAATTCTTCATTCAGCACCTACTGGGTGCTAGCCTCTGTGCGGGGTGCAGGGTGCAGCAGCAGGACAGCCATGGCTTCTGCCCCGGAACAAGCACCAACATTCTAGGTCAGCTGGGTCCCCTCCGGGTGGCTCAGCTCCTGGCAAACTTCACCCCTGGATATGTGAGGACATGGGGAACTATTCCCGATGCATTAAGTGAGAAAAGCAGGTCACCACAGGGATACAGAAGGAATATGGTGCCACTTCTGTCTTAAAAAATGTATAACTGCCTGGTTCTGGAGCAACTAGGCCCAAAATGTGACCCGGCCATCAGTAGGTGGTAAGATCCCAGGGGAGCCTTATTTTCTTGCAACTCTTGTCTATCTGCTGAATTTTCCACAATGAACGTATATTATTCGTCACTAGGGGGGACTTCTGCCAATCGACGCCTCCTCTTGGCTGGGCTGAAGTCTGCGTCCCGGTTTGTGTCCTGCTTTCTGGAGCAGCACAGAGTAAGTGAGAGAACTTGTAGGAAGGGGTCTGCAGGCTCCCTGCCTGGGGGCCTGTCCTTCTCCTGGGGATCTGTCCTTCACCCAACCCTCACCGGGGCCCTCACCGGCCCCAAGAGCAGAGGCCTCACATCCTGCCAGTGCTTTGCTTCCCACGTGGAGCCTGTACTCATCTGGCCCCCCTCTGTGACCACAAGTTCCCCAGGGCAGAGACCACAGGCCCAACATGGGGCTGGGCATACAGTAAGTGCGTAATAACAGCTTGCACAGAGTGGCCTCTGCTTCATGCCTGGCGAGTGGTCTCACCTCTCCAGGACAATGAATGTGCTAACGACAGCATCTGCAAACGGTAGCGATTTGCCCACCCCAACATCCCTAAACTGGAACCAGAGAGATGACATCTATGGCTCTTCTGCAAGCCCAAATCTGTCTTTGTTCCTCCCCAGTCTAAATCTCCCATAGCTCCCCAATGTCCTGAAATAAAACCCCCTGCCCCAAGTTTGCAACTAAAGTCTTATGCCCTCTGGCTCCTGGTCCCTCCCCAGGTCCTCTCCTCCACCAAAACAGGTCAGCCTATAATGCACCTGCCAAAGGGTCTGCTTCATGCCCCTGGGCCTTTGCATATGCTAGTCTCTCTATCCAGAAGAGCCAGACCCACCCCTACTCATCCTTCAAAACCCTGCTCAGGTGGCGGCTCCCGTGAAGAGTCCTTCCTGATCCCTTACCCTGCCCCAGATCTGGTGAATCGCCCCTCCTGCTCCTGCTCTTCAAACACACATTGATTATCGCACTCAATGCAATTAGGGGTTGACAAGTCTGTCTCCTACCAAACCGGATGCGACGGGGACTGGGCCTTTTTGTCTTTGTTTTAAATCCCCGGTGCCCAGATACCGCCTGCAGACAAATAGGCACTCAGGAGTGTCTCACTGACAGGTGGGTGAGTCGGTAAACAACATCTGCACGGCCCTTTACAGTTTACGAAGCCTTTTCCCGTCCTCCCATCTCACTGGGCTCCTCTCGCCAGGGTGGTGGGGAGGGAGGCTCCTGCTGCATTAAAGGGCCTTGGGGGCCCCTCTCGTGGCCAGGGCTGGAGTTTGAGGTTTGCCGGGCACCTCCCGCAGGGCTCACAGAGAGCGGCCGGACCCCCTTTCAGCAGGAAGCTGACTGTTTCCCCAGTGGGGAGGGGGCTGCCACCCACCCCCAGGGAGCCGCCGGCAGGTGCCCAGGTGGGGCCAGGTCAGGGAGAGGCTGGGGTGAGGCCGCCAGCCCGCCCGGAGCTGTGGGATGCGGAGGGCTGGAGCAGCTCCACCAGCGAGTCTTGGTAACAGTTGCTATGTAAAACGCTCGGAGGGGGAATTTACTGTCAGCGTTAATAATAGATGAAGGTTTCAGAATTTTTGATGCCTTACGTTCTAAGCCGTTTGATTTATAATGTCTCTGGAAAGGGAGAGCTGAGGGTGGGGGCGACGGAGGAGGCCCAGAGGCGTGAGCCGGGAGCTCATGTCCCCGCCACCTTCGCCAGGCCGGGAGGGAAGCCGAGGCCCACGGGGAGGAGCCCCAGGATCCAGATGCCCGACGCTGCCCCGGTCCACGGGAGGAGAAACTAAGTCTCAGCCCCTCCCGCCCTGCGCCTGGGGTTGTTTTGGTGGATTACTGCTTCTCCTTTTAGCGCGAGCAGGTGTATCTCAAGTAGTCTCCGGAAGCGGCACTGATGGGCGCCTGTGGCGGGGGCTGTGTGGGGCTGATTACAGGCGCTAGGAAGGCAAAATGCAAGTCCCAACTTCCCTTCTGCTTAGCTGCAAGCTGCGGCTGTTGTTGAGTCGGGGGAAAAATATCCTCCCTCAGAGAGCAGGCAGCACGGCTGGGCAGGAAGCAGGGCCCGTTTGCTGGGCTCCTCAGAGCCTGGCAGGGGGTGGAGAGGGGAGCCAGGAGGGGGCAAGGGCATGAGGGGCTGTTTTCTGATGCAGGAGGACAGGCCCCTCTGTGGCCACTGGGTCTGCCATTCAGTCCCCCAGACATACACCCGCACATGCACTTGAGCGTGGGCTCAGGCCACCCCCACCTGTGGCGAGGCCGCTCCCCTGCTGGGGTGACCCTAAACTGAACTGGTTTTAGAGAGGGTGCCTTCCCTTTGGGCTTTCCCACCAAGCCTTTGCCCACGCTGGTCTTTTCATCTAGACTTCTCTCATGCCTGTCCTAACCCTCTTTGACCTCTCACCCCAGGCTAGGAAATCTTTCCTGATTCGGCAGCCAGATGGGCTCTCTCCTCCCTGGATCTCTAAGCACCTGATCTGAGGGCCAGAGAAACTGGGCCTGGGCACCCAACACCCTCTCACCTTGACAGCTCTGTCCCGAAAGTCATGTCATCTCCCACCTAGAAATATAGGTGTGTCTGGGCTCATTCCTCAGGCCCTGAACACTTCCAGGAGCCCACCCTGACCACCACTGCAAGCAGGTGGGAGAAGCCTGCCCCTCTCTGGCCTCTGTTTCCCCTTGCAGGGGTCTGGTGCCCTGTGTTCACCACAGGCCTGGTGCAGACCCACAGGCAGCCGTGGGGCTGGTAGCAGAGTGACACCCTCTCCCCCACAGACATCCTCTTGGGGCAACACGTGAGGACCCAAAACCTCTGAGGAGCTGTGGGCATGCTGTTAAGAATCGTAACTGTGACCAGAAAACCTTCCTTACTGGCTAAGCCCCTCACCACACAGAGAGAAGCCTGCTCCAACCACATCAACAGCAGCCCCCTCCCTGGCTCCCCATCCTGCCTCCCTGCTTCATCACTGATTGGCTCACCTGCTTTTGTCAGTGCCTCTCATTCACACATGAGCTTCACAAACAAGGGTTTTTGTCTGTGTTGGCCACCACTGTGCCCTCAGCACCTGGGATAGCCTGGCATACAGCGGGTGCTCACCAGGCGCTGAGCTGAATGCATAAAGAAAGGAAGAAAGGAATGAACACTGCCTGAGCCCTCACATAAACCGGGGCCGGCCTGAGGGCATGGGGCTCAGCAGCAGGGTGCAAGGGCCTGGGTACACAGGCTTGCCCCTTACCCCCAGCACTTTTTCATCCTGCATGCATGCACCCAAGCTGCACCCAGGCGTCCCTGGACACCCCCTACCCCAGTGCCTGCGCTGGGCTCTCAAGTGTCCCAGGCTCCAGAGTGCCCTCAAGTGGGAACACTGGAACTGCCATCCCAAGGGGAGCCAGGGCACACAGATCCACCCACAGGCTCTGAAATAATCACCTCTGCCACAAATGGAGGCCGCCCTGGCCCTCCTGACCCTCCAGAGCTGCTGGGACTCATGCAAGGACTGGGGCATGGAGGGCTTCCCAGGGTTGGCAGCGCTGCTGGGCACCGTGCCTGGGGGCAGAGGCTTCTCCTGGGAGATAGGCCTCCTGCCTGCCTGGGAGAGCTCTGCCTGGCTGGACCCCACCCTACTCCCATGTCACATTCCTCCAGGAAGTCAGCCCCTGCAGGAACTATGGGTATCACTCACTCACCAAATACTATAAGGCCCTCCTCTGAGCCAGGCCCTGTGGGGTACATGCTGGGGACACCGAGGAACCAGACACAGCCTCCAGCTGGAGGGCACCCCAAGAGACACACTGGTTATCTGTGTGAGAGGGTGTGGGGCAGGTCTGCGGTATGCCAGGTGCAGGGTAGGAGCTGGGCTTTGTTTGGGGAGCCACGAGGTGACTCAGTCATATCTGCAGGTGAAGGGCTTGGGGGACAGCATGGCTAGGCCCCGGCTAAGAGGGATGAGCAGAAAAGGAGATGGGGGAGGGGATGATGCCCCTTTCCTGGCTCAGGAAAGCACCCCCTGAGAGTGCTGCCTGGGGAGGGGACTTTAAGCAATCAGGGACCCCAGACATCTTCAGGGTCCTTTGTCCTCAGAGGGCAGGGGTCCCTGAGGAGGCTGTGTGTGGCCCATTAGGTGGGGAGGGTCTGATGGTCTCCAGGAGAGGGGACCCCAGTGTGGAGAGCTCTGTTTCAGTGTCTGGCAGCCTCTGACCTCCCGGAGCTTCATGGTCTGGGCTCTGTGGCCCTTTGGCAGGCTGAGCTGGGATGGCAGGTCACCGAGGGTGGCCGCAGGGACCTTGGCAAACAGGAAATGCCAACTCACCCTTCGAGTCGGCTCCAGGAGCTGATGCTCCCCTTGGCCTGTCTGTCTAACCCCAGGCCTACGCCTCTCCTTCCTGCTCCAGCTCCTCCCACCCCCAGGCCTCCCAGTCTTGCTGCTTTCACCCACCCCACTCCTATGATGGTCTAGAAGTAGAGCCGCTAGGAGCCTAGAGCCCACTTCATCAGCCACTCATCACGCGTCCCTTCATTCAACAAAGCTGCATTTTATGCTGCCAGGCCCTGCATCTAGGGCTCTCAGTTCAGCATTGGGGTGCTGCCAGGCTGTTGGGGAGACAGTGCATCCTCAGGCCTGCCAGACTAGGGTGGCAGCACTGTGACAGGAAAGCCCAGGCTCTGTGAGCCGAGAGGAGGCCTCTAACCAGTCCAAAGGTCAGGGAAGGCTTCCAGGAGGCCAGCTGCATGGTGTGAGGTAGTGTCGGGTATGGCTTGAGCGATTGCGTCTCACCCTCCTTGGCCTCCTTTCTGTTCCAGTTGAGCTTCTGTTCATCAAGTCTGCCTGATAGGTAGATCTCGACTCCCAGTACCAGCTGCCTCAGAGCCTCTGTTTTTCCGGCATATAGAATGGACCCAATGAGTCACTCAGGTCAACTGGGTAAATATTTACATAGTAGGTGCTCCCCTACCTACTATTCTTCTCCCCTACTCTGTGCTGAGACACAGGCCCAGGTGCCTTGACCACTTTCCTATCCCAACTGAAGCCTGTGGGCAACCCCCAATGCCTGGTAAAAGCCCAGGATTCTAGAAGGACCAAAAGCCAAGCCTCAGTGGGTGAGGGCTGCTGGGTCATTCGTTGTGGCTTTAATAATGAGGTTTACGGAAGGTTTTCTAGTCAGCAATAACGTGC